ATGAAATGATGTTAGCTGGAAACACTGAAAGGGAATTAGAAGAAAGACTAAAACAGTGGGGATAGGCTCTTGAAGAAAAAGGTTTAAAATTTCGGGTTTTTGTTTTTCTTCAATGTTGCCTATTATACTATCGGAATATTACCATTTCATCTCTTTCTATGTTGATATTTGCTGCTTCTTTCGATAAGTGACGGGTTTTGGGCTATTCAAACTATTCTGGTCATTGTGGTCACATGCTTCTGATCTCATAACTAATGTTTTGTCGATCCATGTTTATTCTGTTTATTCTCTTAAGGATTTATTTGTTTCTAAATATCTTCGTGTTTTGCTAGTCCCAAGTATTTTTTCTGTGGTATACATGGGGATAGACCAGATTACAGATTTAAAATGATAATTTGAAGATGGAGTTTCTATTACAAAAGAGAATTAGAATTATTAGAAGAGGAACATTATGATCGTTACTGTAGGTTCAATGCCGAAATAATAATTAGCTAATACAAAGAGTCGCTAAGTTGCAAGTTATTTTGCAAAAATATTATCTATTGGTATCTGTCACTTATAAAAATAATAGTATTTTTAAATACTTATTATTAAATACTTATTAAATCAGCTAACACTGTGTAATTTAAAAAAGGCCCTAAGCTTGAAAAGTGTCAGTGGTTCATAAAATAATTTTTAACCTATTTATAAAGTTTGGTGAAATAGAATATTGTTTTTAATTGACTTATGGACTTATGTTCGGTCAAATCATCAGAATGATCGATCATAAATATACATATGTACTTCTTTATTTACTATATGATCACAAAAATAGTATGTTTTTATGATTGTGTACATAGTGTGAAAATAAAATAAATGTAAAACAATTGATCCTATTTTATGAAAAAGAAACTAATGGCATTCAAAAATTATTGTAAAATATCTTATCATGCTCAAATATAAAAGAAAAAGAAAAAAATGCAAATCTGAAAATTATAGGATACTTTATTTCCATCTGTTCGTTTTTAAATTTTTAGAAAAGTTAGTACTTTATACAGAATTGTAATATAGAGCAACTGTCATATATTTGCAAGTATATAAACTTTTAAAAATATAGAATCCAACATCAAACAATAGTGGTCAAAAAAGGTCAAAAGTATACTTAAATAATACTTTATCTTTTAAGTATAGCAAAACGTATAACTATGTATCTAACAACTCAGTGAGATTTCAATTACACTTATTAAATATTATGTTATATTATATATTATATTAAATTTAATATTGTATGAAACAAAACAAAAATACAGTATGTTCTGGAACTTTTTATGGAAAATTTTTTTCCATCAAATTCTTCCACCTTGACATGGTGATAGGACTTGACCCAGGCATGTTGATGACAGTGAACACCACTCAAAAAAGGCGTACTGTGTAGTGCCCAAAATTGCATAGCAGTTGCATTTTTAAAAAGAACTAATGGGAATGTTTTACTGAAAGTACCAAATACTAAAAAAATACTTCCGGTAAAAATGAGAGGTGTCACTAGTCGCTACAATACTGGGACAGAAACTCTCGATAATGTTTATCCGAAAACCAAATAAGAAATGTCAGGACCACGATGGAGCAAGGTCATCATACCACTGAACCCTCCAAGTTTTTGGCTACAGACTAGAAAATTTAAAATAAAGCAGAGCTTTAACTTCCTTCTCAAAAGATTATGATGGTGGAAGTTTACAACTCTACTACTCTTATTGGGATAGAGATAGCGGTGATCGAGAAGAACTGCCCAAACAAAATGGAGTAAGAGAATGAAACAGGGCTCGTAAAAGATACCCAAATAAAACTTTTTATAGGTAAAGAAATAATAAATAAGACTTACTCACAATCAATTTAATTTAACTATCAGACGACCGGTTTCGCTTTCTACAATATGCAAAGCATCTTCACGTCTCGATACAAAGTTAAATAAATGATGCCGGTACTCTATTAATTGATGGATGGTAGAACATGGTTGAAACTACTATGTATTGTTGAATGGAGAACTCAATTCTGCTATTGTAGTTGTATGACAGTAAACGGGAAGTTCTTGAGGAGATAGATTTGATCCAATGAAGCAGAGATATGTGTGTGATTGTTTGTTAAATGAAAGTGATAATATACCATTGTATTATTAAAAGTTATTTATACTTATTCGAGAGATATATTTATGAAATGTGTGTTATTTATTGAGTAATTGTTTTATGAAGGTGACAGTTTTATGACAATGAATAAGTTTATATGTACAAATTTTGTGGGTGTGCAATTATTTTTCAACTTGTAGTTATCAAATTTCTTTGATAAAGTTCTATTGGAAAAATAGTAGATTATTGCAAAGTCAAGTAAATAAAATGTTAGAATTAAAACAATTAAGGACAATTTAAAACACACTAAAACAGAAAACACTTAGAAGCGACGAAACAAACATTAAATTTAAAAGAAGGAAGGACTTTTATGCACTACATTTCAGTCTTGGGCACAATGCTGACTGTGCACAATACACATTGTGCCCAAGACTGAAATGTAGTGCATAAAAGTCCTTCCCCCTTTTAAATTTAATGTTTGTTTCGTCCCTTCTAAGTGTTTTCTGTTTTAGTGTGTTTTAAATTGTCCTTAATTGTTTTAATTCTAACATTTTATTTACTTGACTTTGCAATAATCTACTATTTTGCCAATAGAACTTTATCAAAGAGATTTGATAACTACAAGTTGAAAAATAATTACACACCCACACAATTTGTATATCTTAACTTATTCATTGTCATAAAACTGTCACCTTCATAAAACAATTACTCAATAAATAACACACATTTCATAAATATATCTCTCGAATAAGTATAAATAACTTTTAATAATACAATGGTATATTACATCACTTTCATTTAACAAACAATCGCACACATATCTCTGCTTCATTGGATCAAATCTATCTCCTCAAGAACTTCCCGTTTACTGTCATACAACTACAATAGCAGAATTGAGTTCTCCATTCAACAATACATAGTAGTTTCAACCATGTTCTACCATCCATCAATTAATAGAGTATCGGCATCATTTATTTAACTTTGTATCGAGACCTGAAGATGCTTTGCATATAAAATTGATTGCATAGTTAAATTAAATTGATTGTGAGTAAGTCTTATTTATTATTTCTTTACCTATTTGAAATGGACTCACACAAGCAACACATTCATGATTTTAAAACTTTTTATATTTATTAGCCCATTTGGCAAACAAAGGACTCAGGTCCTGGCCTGTACTCCAAGTCGGCTGCCGATCGAGATTCTTGTTGGACAATGAGTCCAAGAATTAAAGACGCTGCACTGATAGCAGATGCTAGGTGGATGAAAAGATGTCTATACAAGCTGTAGATACGAATGAAACAAAGTATGGGACAATAACTTGTAAGAGCCATGCTGGAGACTGGAGGGCAATTCATGCAGACCGACAACACGCCATAAAGGCAATAGATTGAACATTTAAATATTGGGAAATTAGATTTTCGGAGATTTGTAGAACTGACCTGTGAAATTAGGAGAAATACTTAAAATCCCCACAAGAACCTTACCGAGTTTTAACTAGAGCATTAGAGAAGAAGTTATTGATGTATTTTCATGAAGGGACAAGGTTTGGTTCAAAGGTTTCAAGGCCGAAAACAAATTGTGTCTCGCTTTAGATAAGAAAGAAGAAGAAAAATATTTTGGTAGTTTTGTCAGCCGTGTATCTTACATTCATCCCCAAAGTAATTAAGATCATTCCGTAACATTTTTGTTACTTAATGTTTCCTTTTTGTAAAAACATTCAGGAAAATTTTTCGTTTTTATGTCAATCTCCATCTGTATGTTTCAATATTAAGTGTCTCACATTACGTCTTTTTTAGCCTTCATCTTCCTCTTTTTTAAACCTTTCGCTGCATATTTACCGGATTTGGCACTTTGATATTCGTCGCTCGGTCCGCATCATACGGTTATTTGCCACTGTTTAAGTTAAGGAGTTAAGGAGTTGAGTTGAATTCTAGGATGAACACATGATCGTGAAGTAAACGGCGAATAGATTAAAAAACTTTTTAGAAGTACAGTTTTCTTATCCGGGACTACAGACGGAGCGGTAGATATAAATAAACTGACCTAAACGCAACGAAATGGTAATGACAGATCGCGAGACCACACATTACTTGGAGTAGCAAACGCAGTCCCATGCGTGTTTACTTAATCTCCTCGGTCACTCCCAGAATGACAAATCCTCTTTATTGTATTTACATAAAAAGAATCTTTTCGTGATCTATTTACCAACGAAGAGAATATTAATTATGAATCATTTGCACATATGGACCCATTTTATGGTGTAAATAAATTCTCACAATTGATTTATTTAAGATCATACGGCTACCCATTTGGTGGCTTACTATATGTACCACATATTTAGGCCCACACTACAGAACTTTGTAAACTTGTTAATCATACGATACTATTTATTATGTTGCGTAGTGTCAGCCTAAGGATGCGGTGCATATATGCGAAAGAGAATAAATATTAAATTATTAGATAAATGGGTCTCACGACTATCAATGGCACATCACATCGGTTCTTTCTGACGAGAAAGCTAGAAAGCTAAACAAGAGTTACTAGATAAAGAGATTATTGGTTAAGATTAAACAAGGATAAATAGATTTGCAGAGAGCCGAGGAAAATTGGTCTTGTAAGAGACAGTGATAACTTATTCAGAGTAGTATCTGGTCGATAATGCAAGTTAAAGGAAAAAGTGTTTGATGACGCAAGGTCAAACTCTAAATTTTGACAAAAATATCGATTGCAGTTATTTTTTATGGTTTTTGATATTTTTCTACTCTACTGCGATTATGTATTATAAATATCAACTAAAGGATAACTAACCTTTGATAAAAATATGAAAACGAACAGATAATGAAAAGATACTTCTAATATGGTGATAATGACGAGCACATAGTGTTTCTAACGTGTACTTACTTGTGTGGCGTATATTCTGTTAGCATCAGTATGTATTCTTTTTCCCGACTTAATATCTTTAATTCGTTTAATGGCTAGCATTATTTTCTTTTGATGGCCTAATTTCACTATTCCGAACTCTTCTAAATCTTCCCATGTTAACTGGGTGACGTCGTCTACTGTCTGATAGTTCTGTTCCAAAAGAGCTGGAAGATATTCGTCTAGACGCAGTAGATTTAACCACTCTTCTAAGGACCCCTAAAATTGTAAAAATTCACATTTCAATTACATTTTTTTAAATATATTGCATACATGCTTACAATTTTTAAAACCAGCATAGCGTTATAAAAAGTAATGCCTGGAATAATCTCCAAATAAATGCAAATAAAATAATCTTCAAATTGTTGGTTATAGTTTTTTTATGGCACTTTTAAGGTGCAACAATTGGTGTTATTGATATTTTTATTCTATCAAATCAATACTTTGGGGTATAATGAGCACAATATTATGAAAGTACATGCTAAATTAAATTTGACACCCAATAGTTTATGCAAAATTAACGATTGAAAGTCTAAAAATGTCAATTTTTCGCATTTTTAATTTTTCAAATAACTATTGTAATTTTTTTTCATACAAAAAGCATTATAATGTATATCTTTTAATTACAAATCGAATAAGACTTCGAATGATCCGATCGGTCAATTACTTTTCAAGGTACGTTTGATTATTTATAATTTTTTTTTAAATTCATAAATTTTGCAGAGCCAGAACTTTATTTAAAAAAAGATAGAGATCTAATTCTAAACCGATTCTCTTCTTGGTCGATTACATTTTTATATAGGAATAAAAACATTTGCCCAAAAATTTCATTAATCCCTTATTTATTACTTTGAAGTAGGGGCAACTTTTACGTTATAAATTAATTAGGCTAAAGCCCTCTCTATACATTACACACATTTTTAACTAAACATATTAACAAAAAAGTTTTCTACGACCAATAAAAGTGGAGTTATCATAATTTGTCTTAATTGTAGTAGACGTTGGGGTGGTTGGGCTATCCTCCTTAATTTCCAATCTAACGTCGTTCAGCTCGAGAACGGCTAGTTGGATCGTGACTTACGAGAGTTGTTTGAAAGAAGGTAGCTCAAGAAATAGATAATAAAAAGTTGAGGTCAGAAGGTGAATTGCCAAAAAGAAATTAAGCTTAAAATGCCTAAACGACTTAAGATATAGGACTGTGCGATATGTCATATGACAGGATTTAGCGAATAAAATGCAATGACATAACGGTTTGCTATAAAAAGAGCTTTTAGCTCGGTCAAACTGGTAGAAATTTTAATAAACGAACAGCAGAACATAAAAGGGCTAATCTACATACGCACATCACCTTCTAGATCATAATCATTCTTTTAATGATGAATTTAAAATTCTCCACATTCAAAATAAAGGCCTTAAGCTGTCTTTGTTAGAATCTATAGAAGTCAACAAATTAAAAAACACAGATATAATTCTGAATGACCAGGTTGAGACAATCAGTTCTCCCCTCCTTAACCTATTTCATTAAAGACTATAAAGTGTAAACGCATGTAAAAAATAAATCACTTGAGAAAGGCAATCAGCCGAAACAGCTGTAGTGATAAAAGTTTAAAATAAATTTTGTGGAAGTTTGAAAACAAAGTTTTCACTGTTTTATTAATTAATTTGATATTTTAATATTCTATTTAGTGATTTCATTTTACAATAAATATAATCTTTTATTTCATATATAAAAAATTAAAAGAAGTGATATTTCTTGAAAGAAATTTTTTTGCCTTGATTTAATTTTAAAAAGAAAACACAGAGAAGAGATCTTTTATATGAATACAAGTCCAAAAAATTATTGATAATTTGTATAGGAATTTTAATGAATTTGTAATTGTAATTTGTAATGAAATATAATTAATTGTAAAATTGACTTTAATATATTTTTTTTTATTCTGTTTTATTAAATTATTTAATAGTTTAGTATCACAAAATTATTTGGTTTAATATATTTTCCTGTTGTCCATCCTTTCCTCAGTTGACTATACTCTATAGAAATTAAAGACTGTTTAGGATATATCATAATAATTGATAAAAAAAATTGCACAACTAGAATAAGATCGATAATGACATAATTAAAACAAAAGTATATATACGAAATAGAAATATAAATTATGGTGACAAAGTACTAAGATAAAACGTGAAAAACTATAAACATATGCAAAATGAAATACTAAGTTAGCGAACAAATAAAAGGTACTAAATACGTAATAATAAAATCTTAAATGTAATACGTAATGATTCCGTTTTCCATTATCAACAGATCATCCTGTATATAAGTCACCATATATTCAATCTAAGAATATAAAAAATGATTAAATTCAAGAGCTCTTAATACTTCTTGTAATGTATTTTGCAAAAACTTGTAAAAGAATTCGATGTAAATTAGAAATGAAGCTAATGTCAGAATAACAATAAGAACTAAATTAAAACCCGAACCATTTAAAGGGATAAAATTCAGAAACACGGACTTTGGGGAATGAAACCTAAAAGCAGACACTTTTAAGAGACTTCATTTAATTACAGCCGTACAAAAGAGCTTTTATGACTTCTCCAATTACATTAATACTTACTGGTATGAATTCTGGCAAGTTGTCTGGAAGATTAAGTTGGGCGATTTCAGCTTTTAGCCGTTTTCTATGATTGGGTTTTTTAATTCCTATGGCAGTCAAGTCCTCTGGCGTCATTCTTCCGATTGTAGGTAAATCGTAACCGGCTGATATAAATAGTGGAAAGTATTCTTCAAATTGTAAATCAACTAGCCAGGAATGAATGATTTCTTGATCCTGAAAATAAACACATTTTTATAAATAAAGGTCAAAAAGCAGTGTCTAGTTTATTTTTAACCAATTGATAACGTATATTATCACAATTATTATCCATCAATAGGCAATAAACCATATTAGAATAGAACGAACTCAGTTGGCCTTGATTAAAGAACTTATTTTATACTAAAGGAATGATTTTCATTTAGTTAATATTATTTCCAATCCATTTGTTCGATTATACACACACTTAACTAAACAATAATAACGTGCTAATAGTTTTAAAGTTAATATCTGTAGATATATTCAGAAGTAAAAGAGTCTTCCCAAAATCGCATAAACAAAAAGACAAGACAAAACAATTGTGCAAACAAATTGCTGTTACCAGTTCTATAGCAAGGTTATAGGATGTATACAGAAAAATAGTCTTCTTGTTGTATATGTAGCTCTGTAGTCCTAGCTGTTGTAGTACTTATTTCCAGCTTTCATACTACTTCTTGAGAGGTCTCCTTGTTGACTTTTGTATCAGATTGTATGAGTCTATAATCATTACACTTAATAGTTGAATACCAGTTACAAATGTAACGCAGAGAGTCACGGTGAAATTAGATCCAGAATTGTGCAGACCAGAACTGCTTTTAGAAGAATGTCCAAGATATTATGTAACAGAGACTGAATAAAAGTGATCTAAATCGTTTTGAGGCTTTCGAAATGTGGTGCTATAGAAGAATTTTAAAAGTTTCTTGTGCGGAGAAGATTTGAAACTCAATATACTAGAACGTTACGGCAAGACTACTGAGATTATACAAAGCATAAAGAGAAAGTTGGAGTACTTCGGACATGTAATGAGAGGTCCCAAATATAGATCGCTACAAAATATTATGCAATGGGAAATAGCAGGCAAAGGCAGTTGAGGAACTTACGAGATTGGTATGGTACTGATAAAAGCAGATTAGGAACCACTCCACATCACCCCAATGCTCCAAACCATCCTCTACTCCTCGATAGCTCGCTGATACGCTATTGAGATTACAAATAGGCAAAATGCTTCTCACATGGAAGTCCTAGGTATATGAAATACTGCTGAAATACTGCTGCTACCACTTAGAGTGGAGAGCGTGAGGGGCTATAATCCTGCTATCATCTTAATTGACACCTTCTGACATTATCATTGTACATTTGCTTACCGTGGCGTAGTTTTTTGTGTTTTTGTTATTAGTAATTTTTTTGTAGCTTGCGCCGTTTTGTTATGATTTTTTTGTCAGTTTTTTGCTTGTTTTTTATATTATTTGGAGGAGGGTTTCTAAATCTAATAATCTAATAATCTAATTATAGGCAGCATGATGCTATTTATTAGTCCGATCAATGTTTTTTTGATAAGTTGCTTTTTCTTCCTGTGAGTCTTTTGTTAGCCGCTCTTGCTGCTCCTGTCTTTTCAATTGTTGCGTTTCCATGTGGTGTAAACGTTAGGCCTTTATCCAATGTGATTCCTAGGTTTAGGCTTCGTTTTTCCATTCGATGGATCTGTATTGTACTATTAGTTGTTCTTTTGGGTTATCCCTTCTCTTTTTGAAGATAATCGCTGGGGCCTTCTCAGGATTTATTGCTATTTTCCATTTCCTGTTGTTCCCTGGGTGTTCTGGGACCGTCAGCTAAGTATATGCTGTACAGTAGTGTGGTACTCAGGGGCTTCGTGTTCGAACAGGACTTATTCTGACCAGTCACTAATTTTGTCAAGGCTCGCTGTAACCATATTTTCTCATTTTATATACTATTTCTCATTTTATATACTAAACCTTTGAGGTGTACCTGATAGTGTGTGGCGGGAATAAATAGTTCCTCAGGCGACCTGACAACTAATGTCTGAAATTCAATCAGTTCTACCTGACGGGCGAATAGACTGAACAGGTCTCAGTTTTTAACAATCCTTTAATGTGGACAGTTTACATTATTAGATTAAATCTTCTGTAATTTTGGTTCATTTAACTGTTGTGCTTCTTTAACTTTTGAAAATAAAGGTAATACAGAAAATGTCGCAACGACATAATGAAGTACTTGATCATTTCATTGAAATTTATAAAACTAAACCTTGCTTCTAAAAAGTGAAAGATAATTAATATCACAATAGAGTTAAGAGAGATGCTGTTTACAAAATTGCAAAAAATAAGAAGGGACAGGAAAGACCATCTTTTGGAGCTGACAAACTTAACAGATATACATAAAGAGTGTGTGTGCCCCCCTCTTACTTGACATCCGTTTGTTCCGGCGTACCTATCAGGTATATCTAATAGTGAGTGACTGGCATAACAGAGATTATAGAAAAAAGTGGCAGATATAATATAAATTCACACCGCTTTATTAACTTTTAAGGGGTGCCTATGAAAACAAAAAAAATTTCTTATACAAACAGTAAGAGAATTAAATATACCAATGAAACATCAATTTAATGAAAGAAAGAATCCAAGTTCACAGTAATGTCCCAATTTATAAAAAAAATTGACGGACACCATCAATGTTCGCAAAGAACTATGGCATGAGAATGTCAAGTCCATACCAGAGCAACAATAATAACAAAAAGTGATATCATAGCTAGATATAAACTCAAGCTGTACCTAGAAACAGAATAGAAGCATTCAAAGATCAGTTTAGAACAGCGGCATATTAACAAAACCTAAATAAAATATGTGTTCGTTGACAAGTGAGTAACTCAAAGGTTAAACAAAAACAAAGGAGAATATAACTTTGAAAGTGTAAAGGACTTCACATATCTGTCACTTCGATCAATCTTCTCATGCTTGAGCATTTATTTATTAAATCTCCAGAAAAGCATAAACATGTTACTCCGCAGACAATGTCAAACATTTAAATGAAAGAAACGTTTTGAAACAATATAAGAATTCAAAGCCAGAAACAAAGCTCACTGGCCTGCGTTTTGTTAGACGAAAGAGTTAACAAAAAGGAAGCTAGAGATATATAAAGCTGATAGAAAATGTGATAAACAATCCAGTGAGCACATTTGAAGAAGAGTTTATTAACAAAAAATAAAGGGAGCCTGAAGAGAGAAACAAAAATTTTAAGACAAAATTATATCCTAGAAGAACAAGAACCGTAGTGATCTTAACAAGACTGTTACGGTGATATAGACAAATTGTAAAGCAGAAACGCAAAATACTAATAAAATAATTAGTCCAAGATGGAGTTGCGTAAAGTGATACGCGATAATAAGTTGTGAAATTAGGATTAATTTTGTTATGATTTTCAGAAAAAGTATTTTTTAAATTAAAATTCAACTGCGAATAACGGTTTTAAGCTGTTACACCAGTGTTTTTCGAAAATATTTGAACAAGACCTTATCTAGCGTATCTTGTTTATATAATAAAATAAACAATAACACCAGAGTACTGTGGAAGATAACTCGTTTCAATTGTGATCATCATAATAAATGATAAGGGAGTTAAATGCTACAAACTTCTCTATACGATAATTCAAAATATGTAAGAAGTGTTCTTAAAACATGACTCCAGCCTAAGCAAAGAGTGCAATGCACTCTCGAATATAGTTGAGATATAAATTGTTACACAGAAAACTAAAACTAAATAATAATTTAGTAGCCAAGCAATATTTGAAAATGACAAAATAAGATATGAAACCAAAAAAATCAAAAGCCAAATATATCTTTGAATACAATAAATAAAAATAAATTTTTAATTATTCATTATTTCACGATTTAATTCCTCAGAGACCTATAAAAAATAAACTAAAAACGGTACAAAGAGAATTTTCTAGTTACATATTTAAAACCACTACTTAACAAAATTTTGATGATAATAATTATTGTAAAACATGAAAATGAAGATAGATAGAATGGTAAAATCAATGTTACGAGGGTTATCTTTTTAGTTTTGAATATAGCCATAAAGACAAAAAAAATATATAGACTTAAACTACTTTATAACTTTTCAAAATATATCCCACCAAGATCGAAATACTTTTACATACGTTGAAACCTTCTTCTTCTTCTTTTTATGTAGATATGACTGTGTCTGTTTTTCAATGTGCCTCCAGTAAGTTGTCGTTTCATTGTTTACGTTCAAACCAATTCGTAAAATAGTTATTCCAGTCTTCAGTTGACACCTGCAAAATCGCTGTTTTAAAGGCATCGATGATTTCTTCTGGCGACTGGAATCGCTTTCCACGCATTGAATTCTTGATATTTGGTGATCTTGATTTTCTTTGACATACTTCGAGAACGGATCACGTTTGTTAGTTTTTCCTCTTCGTGAAACACCCTCACAGTGGATTGGCATTTATTTTCCGGTTCGTAGGAGTAGAATATTCATCACCACTAACAATACTATAAACGTTTTTTGAGCTTTTTTTGTTGAACCGTTCCAATATTTTTCGACACCAATTAACGAGAACCGCCCTTTGCTCTTCTGTGAGAAAATAAGGGATTCATCGGAAAACCAACTTCGTAACACCAAGTTCTTCATCTAGGATCTTTTTGATCGAGGTCTTTAAAATGCCCAAAGATACCTCTATCTCCTCGCCATGTTACACGGCGGTTATCCTTAATTAGCTGACGAACTGCACCAATGTTTGGCTGTGTGCCTGCTGTTTTGGGTGAACCTGGCCTGGATTCGTCGTTGAGGCTGGAGTGACTAGTTTATTGGTGTGACGCTTCATTCTTAAACACAGAAACCATTTCAGCGAGACATTGCTGTTGGGATAATCTTCTCCGAAAATTGTAAAAAATAATTGCTCGAAAATGTTCCCGGCTGGATTCATTTTTCGACCGACTTCACACTAATTTCAAAACTTCACTGTATCTACACGACTTGTTGTATCGCAACGAAACTCACGATTTATGTCAACAAAAGAATGAGGTTACACACCAAAAAAAAACTAAAGCTTAACAAAAATTAATAATAATAATATCCACTATTTGCCTGCCACTGCTCTTATGTCATCTACCCATCTTTTTGAGGTCTTCTAATGTTTCTTGTCGTCCTCCTTGGTTTCCACTCTAGGATTCTCAGTAATTACCTGTTCTTGTCAAATCTGGCTATGTGACCGGCCCAGCGCCATTTCATTTTTCTAATTTCTTAGACGATATCCCTTATCTTCGTTGTAAGTCTAATCTTGGTGTTTCTAATCTTGGTTCTCAGTGATATTCTAAGCATGTTTCGTTCCAGTCCTCTATGTTGTTCTTTAGCAGATTTCTTGGTAAGGGTTATGGTTTCCAACCCGTAGGTACAAACTGGTAGTATGCATGTGTTATATACCTTTTTATTCAAGCTTATAGGAATGGATTTGTTTTTGAAGATATATGCTAGTTTACCGAAAGCGGTCCATGTTAATTGTGTTCCTCTTTTAATTTCAGCATCTTGATTTAGTATTCCCAGTTTGATGACATGGCCCAGATATGCATAATGTTCCAACCTATACGTCCGAAGTGTTTAAAATCATGGCATCATTGATTCGTACGCTAGTATTCATGTCATATAATGCTGTAAATTTATAAACATCGTTGATGCTTACTAGCTAACGCTGATGACAATAAATCGGAACCTGAGACTTGAGTCTGGAAGAATTTGTGCCTATGATCTAAATAATTTACCAAGGGACCATGGAAATGCCAAAATACAGACAAGATTGAAACTAGAAATAAAAATAAGGATAGAAAAAGCTGTCCGTGTGGAGTGTCTATCTCCCATCGGACGCGTCCCCAGGTGGTGGATAGGGGAACGCCCTAACCGGTCCTAGAACCGGCGGGTAGGTGGGAAATAAAATACCACCCGTGAACCAAAACGGACTAAGGTATGGTAACCCTAACAGAAGAGTCCCTGGCCCTCCAGGTTGGAGGTTGGGCTTAGGGCTAACAACTCTACCCCGTAAAAAAAATATCGTTACGAAATCTACAGTTAAAGAAACCGGACGGAACTTACGACGTCGACCAATGCAACGAAATAAGGACAAAGATTTAAAAATTTACACGTGGAATGTGCGGACACTTTATGAACCTGGAAATCTTAAAAAATTAATAGACATACTAACTAAATATAAAGCACACATTACTGCTGTGCAAGAAGTAAGATGGACTGGCCAAGGAATTATCCAAAAGAGACAATGCGATATATATTACAGCTGTCACAAGAATAATTACGAATTCGGGACCGCATTCATTGTTAACAAAAAAGTAAAAAATCTTATTATGGACTTCAAACCAATAAGTCCAAGAATATGTTACCCAAGAATAAGAGGTAAGTTTTTTAACATGAGTCTCATAAATGTACATGCCCCAACCGAAGACAAAGAAGAGGATGTCAAAGATCAATTCTATGAGGAAGTAGAGACCATCTACGATAGATGTCCCAGAAACGTCATCAAGATCATAATTGGAGATCTTATTGCAAAAATAGGGAAAGAAAATATATATAGTCCATACATCGGAAAATGCAGCGCTCATGACGTCACCAACGACAATGGAAATAGAATAATAGGATTTGCAGCATCCAAGGGCATGGTCGTTGGAAGTACCTACTTCCCCCATAAGAATATCCATTAAGTAACATGGACGTCGCCTCATGGTACAACCAAAAATCAAATAGATCACATCCTAATAGAAACCAGGCACTTCTCTAATCTAATGGATGTACGTACTTATCGTGGAGCTAATATAGATTCAGACCACTTCTTAGTAGGCGCAAAAATAAGAGCAAGCATCTCAAATGCAAAAACAGAAAAGGGTAAGAAAAGTACTCGCTACAATTTAAAACTCTTGAAAGAGCCCCGTGCACTAGAAAGGTATCAAAATTACCTTGAACATGAAAGCACAACAGATGAGAATTTAACAGCTAGCGAGCAATGGGATATATGTAGAAGAACAATTAAGGAAGCGGCAAACAACGTCCTAGGACCAGAAGAATCCACTCCACGCAACAGTTGGTTCGACGATGAATGTGAAGATATCACTAAAAGAAAAAATTATGCATATAAACTTATGCAACAAAGAAGAACACGGGATAAGGAGCAAATGTACAAAGATCTTAGGAAGGAGGAAAAACGCATACATCGAAGGAAAAAGCGGACCTTCGAAAACCAGATTATGCAAGAGCTTCAATCATTAAAGGGGCAAAATGAAACTAGAAAGTTCTATAATATCCTAAATAAGACAAGAAATGAATTTAAACCACGGCTGACGATGTGTAGAGACAAAAATGGACATATAGTCAGTATCGCTGACGCAGTACAAAGCAGATGGGTTGAGCACTTCAAAAAACTACTTGGTAGCGAAGTGGAAAATGATGCATCACCCCAAAGACCAAGAAATAACACTCACGTAGAACCTCCTTCAATATTTGAAGTGAAAGACGCAATCACACGACTTAAAAATAGCAAGTCCCCAGGAGTGGATTGTATCCCCGCAGAGCTCATCAAACATGGAGGTAACAGCATTATGCACCAAATTCACAACATAATAGTCAAAGTCTGGGAAGAAGAACAAATGCCAGAGGAATGGTGCACTGGAATCATATGTCCACTACACAAAAATTGAGATTTGTTGGAATGTAAAAAGTATAGGGGTATAACTCTTCTGAATACAATGTACAAAATATTCTCCAACACCATGTACAGCCGTTTAAGTACGTACGTGGAAGAAATCCTTGGTGAGTATCAAAGCGGTTTTAGGCCAGGTAGGTCAACAATTGACCAGATTTTTGTGCTACGTCAAATCTTAGAAAAAACCAATGAATTTAATATTGACACGTTCCATCTCTTTGTGGACTTTAAGTCAGCGTATGATAGCGTCCTAAGAGGTAAATTATACGAAGCCATGAATGAACTTAACAATCCCCATAAATTAATAAGACTCGTAAAAACAACTATGAGTAAAGTGATCTGCAGAGCGCAAATACAAGGCGATATGTCACAGGGTTACGGCAGGGAGACGCGCTGGCGTACCTTCTCTTTAATATAGCGTTAGAAAAGACTATAAGAGATGCCGAGTTACACAATAGGGGAACAATCTTTAATAAATAAACGCAGATTATGGCTTACGCTGACGATCAGGATTTGATTGCACGTACTACACGAGGACTTAAAGAGATGACTTTCACCTTCTTGACATCCGCACAAAATATGGGCCTTAAAATAAACGAGGAAAAAACCAAAATGTTAACATCTATTCCAAATAACAGAGATAGAACTAGAAACGCCGAACAAAACTTCAGTATAGACCAATATAATTTTGAGGTAGTAAATAAGTTTACATATTTGGGTTCTCTCATAACAAACGATAATGACACATCTGAAGAAGTTAAACGGAAGGTACTGCTAGCAAACAAATGTTATTTTGGACTAAGCAAGCAGCTAAAAAACAGAAATTTAAGCCAGAAAACCAAACTAATAATATATCGAACACTCATCCTACCAGTGCTGACATATGGGTCAGAAACATGGACCATCTCCAAAACAGACGCAAATCTTCTGTTCGTCTTAGAAAGGAAGATACTAAGAAGAATAATGGGCGCATTCTGTGAGAATGGTATTTGGAGAAGGCGATATAATTTCGAATTGTACGAGAAGTATAAAAAAAATAGTAAATGGTAGAGATGTAATATCCTTAATAAAAATAGGTAGGCTTAGATGGGCTGGACATGTGTCAAGAGCAAATGAAAATTACCCACCCAGACGAACTCTATTATCGGTCCCAGTGGGAAATAATAGTAGAGGCAGACCACGACTGAGATGGAGGGACGGTGTGGACGAGGACGCAAGGAAAATCGGCGCGGCAAATTGGCAACGGTTGGCGATGAACAGAAACGACTGGCGAAATAGACTGGGGAAGGTCAAGGCTCAACTAGAGCTGTAGCACCACTGATGATGATAGAAAAAGCTGGAACTGCGTTTAACAGTGTAAATCAAAATATTGTGTACTCTTAACCGCAGACTAAAATTGTTATCATGGATCCTTTATTATTTTCTTGGTTTTATTAGATTAATATAATGGCAAAATTTGAGATGTGGCCTTATCGAAAAATCTTAATTTAACTACAGTGTCTGGAACATTTTACACCTGTAGGGGAATACCAATTTCTACAACTGCATATGCAAGGAATATTGGGAGAAGCATGTCTTGATTGAGAAACCTTAAATAATGATCCGCTTTGATTTAGTTATATTCAAATGCTTGTCGTAGTTGACATCAAATTGCAGTTAAAAAAAGAAGAAGAAAGATGGTAGAGTTTTGATTAAAGCGGCAAGAGATAATGGATACAAAGAATTCGACCACTTGAAGAGGAAAAGCTTATAAAAGAATGCCAAAAACGTTAGTATACAATGATTTACAAGAAACAACTAAAAATGCACCAAATCTTTCAATGCGCCTTATGCATATATTCCGAGAACGACAGCGAGAAACAAGAAGATATTGATTTAAAAGAAACCGCTAATGCCTAATTCATTAGATGTTTTTTTTTGTTTCGTTTTTATTTTCGCACTTCTGATATAGGTATTGATTTTCAAACAATACTGTTTTGGTTACAGTTGGTGATATTAATCAATGAACAAAATATTTTCTCTAATTGGGATTTGTTGTTTGTACATAGTTAGTTTTAAACAAAAAGTTGTTTTAACTTTACACATCGGTATTGTTTTAAAATGAATAAGTATAGAATAATTTATTCTTACCGGTATTCCTTGGTGGATCATCCGTTCAATGCGGCCCTGGTCGGAACCGATCGAACATGAACTTAAGGAACATCGTGGACTATTGGAGGAACCAATTGTACTTCTACCCGCCGTACTGAGGGGATGATAGGATGCCCTTCCGCTATCTAAGGAAGCTGTGCTATGTCTCGAGCCCGAACCTGCGCTGCCACTCGACGAACCTGGACTGTCCCTACCGGGAGACTGCAAATCAAGTACAAACTATTAGTTATAAAAAGTAACATAAATATGTAATAAAAAATACAGTTAAGAAATCATTACTGTTGGAAAATTAATTGGTCTTCTTTTATAATTACATCGTTACTGTTCAAGTAACGAATAATGACAATTAGAACTGTATATTGCTCTCACTTTCTCCTTTAGGTATTAATCACTTTGCAGTACGAAGACAACAGCGCGCACAGCAACTTGTCCAGTTGTGTCACTTTCGAAAATCAGGCTTAAACACATACTAATACACCTAAGCATTTACACAATGATTAATCAAGAAATCACCAGACACTCAGACGACAACTGAATTATTATATGGTGTTACGACTACTGCACACCCCAATCGCAAGGTATAACACCATCGTCCTATAGAATGCACGCCATAGGGAAAAAGTATTGTCTTAGTGATGCCCTAGAGAGCTGTCAAATTCTGGGTGATTATAATATCCTTGGCACGGTATCAGAGTGCTGACACGGTATCGGAGCGTTGGCGTGCCTGACAGCTTACTTGGGAATAAAGTGAACACGAGATAGAAAAAGATGGCCCAATAGCGAATCCTTAATGATACATTCAGAGATACTTCAGAGTCCATACATTAAAATGCAAAAGAGAACGAGCAAAGAGGTTTTGATCACGTGTTGGTATATGTATGACAAAGTGTATAATAGTTAATAGAAAATACAAAATCAGCCAATTGGCTGCCAGTACGACCGCTGTATGCCAGACAGCTTTTCAAGAAGAAAAAACACCATGAATGTTCAAGAATTCGAACACAATATTCGTAAAATAATCGGAGGCAGAAGAGTCTGTCTCCCCAAGAGTGACTCATATTGGCCAGATCAAGCAATACCCCGATAAATTTCTGACTCTGAAAGCAAGTAAGCGGAGGCGATCTCGAGAGGTATCATTATATACTGGAAAAGGCTACATTGCGAGGTATCAAGATCAAACAATGAGGGGCGTCTCCGCCTGAAATACTGTCATCGTAACACAGAATGCCCATAAAAGATCACAATCTGCTCCAACTGCGGGCATCGCAAACCCTACGCACTTGATCCACAGCAAATACACTAGTCGCCAGGTATTTCTCCAGGGAAATTGCTGGGATGTTTCTCAAGGAAAACTGTTTTCTCATCAAGATGCCATGCCGAGAAAAGTCTAAGACTCTTCAGACATAAAGTCAATTATTCACTTTTGTGCGTGATTCTTTTTTACGTTTTCTCTGATAATAGGAACGATGTCGCGCTTTACTGTAACAAGATAGCTTATAACAAGATTGACTAAGCTATTCCAACGTTAGCAAACAATAATACAGTCTACCAGACATTCACCCAAATTCGCTATTAAAACGAATTTCGAAGCCATAGACACGCTTTAAGGTCGATTCTTGACCCTAACACAAGTACTCGAACCGTCCTCAAAGCACCTTGCCTTCTAGATGACATCCACTATTTAAGTGCCTAAAATTTCCTCCCCTATCTTCATCGACAATACTCTAACTGAAGTATGGAAGCCTTCGAGGACACTCATTCAAAATATTGCAATAAATAACTCATAGGACTGGGCATGTTTGGTTTTCTGTGAATATGTAATGCTAGTATCATCCATATTTAGACAAATATTTTTTTAATTAGTTCATAGCAGCCCATGTGGTTTTGTTTTTGTTAGAGGATTCAGAGATTTTGTTGAAATAAAACTTACCCTTTGTGGTCTTAATAAGAACTTTGTGCTGATATTTTTTTGTTTATATGGATAGATAAATAATATAGGCTAATTGATGATTCCTCAACCAGATTTAACCTTAACACCTTCGCTGCCATGAGATGCCACTGCGGCATCACAGCAAATTTGACTTTCTGGCCGTGTGAAGCCAGTCGTGCACCTCGGACAGGCAGATACGTTACAGCTGTGTGAAGCCGCATATGCTATTCAACGCCGTGAAATGTTTATGGAACATGTGTACAATGGCTGTAAGAACAAGAAAATGAATTTGGCCTATATAATTGAGAATAACATGTGGCTTCACATGGCTGTAAAACTATACAAAAATAAAACAGCTTTGTTAAGAATATTATTATTTATAGAAGTAAAAACTTATGCAAAGAAACACACATTTTATTATTTATTTATTAAGAAATTGTACTACAAAGATAAAAAAGAATATTAATATTAAAAAATACAATAAATTGAATCGAAAAAATACATTTATTTAGTACTCTGATGAACTGCAAAGAAACAAGATAAGCAATAACTTTTTTGACAAACATTGCATCTAAATTTTGTGAATGGCGAATTTTTTTGGGCTTGTGTTCGGCCACCAGCTCCACTCAGATTTTTATAGCACTCAACGCATCTGCGTCTTCCATTTCGACCAACATCTTCTAACACATGCTGCGGCAATGGAGGTTCATTACGACGATAATGCTCCGTATTTTGTATTTGAAGTAATTCCATCGTGACAAGTTCCTTAAATTTAGTAATGGTCATCTTGTCGTTCGTAACCTGTTGATGTAGTACAAAAGCATTGACTAATGATGTTCCAATAAGAAGTTCGACAGCTAATTTCCTGTACCACTTCACGCCTCGTCTTAAAGAAGTAGCATACGCTTTCATCTGATCGGAGAGGTCAATAAAAGCTTGATGATTATTGTAATCAACAACAGTGGACGGTTTTTCCGTTTGCTTGCGCCCAGAGGAAACTTGTAGAAGCTCTGAAGTATGTTTTGTGCTCAATATCAAAACATCACGTTTGTCCTTCCATTTTTGAATTACTATTCCAGTATTACTTTCAGCAGCTACTGTCTCACCTTTTTTGAGTTGCTTTTGTATAATATCTTTTGGATTAAATTTTCGATTAGCTCTCAGTGTTCCCACCAGATGAGTTTCTTTTTCTAATAATGAATGAGCTAAAGAAATACTGGTGTAGTAATTATCGGTATAAATAGTGCGTCCTTTGTTCAATAAATCTTTTGCCAGTGTAAGAACTATATTTTCAGAAGACGATTGACCTTCTACTTTATCTTGTCCACAATAAACTGTTAAGTTGTAGGTATAACCCTTTTCAACACATAGTTTATACAGTTTGATGCCGAACTTGTGTCTCTTATTTTTAATAAATTGCTTAAAATTTAAACGTCCTCTAAAAGGAACTATAGTTTCGTCGATACACAAAGACTCTTTTGGAGTGTAATATTTTTGAAAATTTTTCAGAAGTTCATTCATGAGAGGTGATATTTTTTGCAATCTTTCATCCGTTATCTCTTCATTGTTGTGAAAATGCCACATCCTCAACAATATTTGAAACCGGTTTCTTGGCATTATTGAACGTATAGAATTTTGGTATAATGTGTTTTGAGACCAATAACACTCCAGTGTGGAACACTGAACTAAACCCATCCAGAAGAGAATACCAATAAATTTTTTCATCTCACTGGCTTCTGTATTATACCAATTTTGAATCCTTGCTTTTGGTGCGTTTTCCTTCTCTTTACATTGGGAAGCATATCTATTAGTTTCGATGACCATTAAATTTATAATTTCATTCGAGAAGAATAAAGTGTAAAAATCGTATGGGGTTCTGTTGTAATAATCCCCATATAACTGAATATCAATACCGCACGTTGGCTCTCTAAAAACAAACTGTTTCAAATTTCGACCTGTCACAATATCCCAAACCAGATCTCCATCAGGCTCCTTATTTTTATTTTGGTCGCTGTCATCATTGTTGCTGTCTGTAGTATTATTTTGTATTACATATTCAATTGTTTCCATCAATGTGTCCCCCACATTCTCGTCTTCGATTTCTAATTCATTTCTGTCCAAATTTATAGGTTCTGAAGTGGCAACTTTTAGACGTTTTTTTGTAGAAATTTCTTCGTCTGATGATTCACCACTGCTATCAGGAATATATTCATCAGAAGAACAATTATCCTCAACTATTTCCTGCTCATCTTCATCAGAGAGGGCCTCCTAAAATACAACAATATTAGAATACTTTTCCCACTTATAAAATATAGTGAATTTATTACCTGCTATAAAGATTCTAACCGGTTTAGCTCCTTCTCGTAGCTCATATTCACTCGATACAGTAAACAAACGATATTACACTGATAAGCATATAATTACTACTGACTCTGACTGACAAATTTATTGCAACTATCGAAATATACAGTTATCCCTCCCATTTAGTGTCGTTTACATGTCTGAATATTCGACCTTGTACCAAGCAGCCGCATTGGCTTCACGCGGCCATTAGAACTACATCTTTGTTTTAGGGCCGCGAGTAGCACATGTGGCTTCTCTTCAAAATTTGCAAAAAAACGTATGGTTTACTGAATAATATGATCAAAACTTAAAAGTATTTATATGTTTATATCGAATTGTGCACAAAAAACATAACGGCCAGAGGGATCATTTTTTTACGTACCATTGTGGCAGCCAACCTGTTAACTAAAAGCTAGTTATTGCCTACAAAACGAAGGCTAAGTAAGGCTAATATTTTTTGGAAAACGCTTTGTGGAGTGGAAATCGAAACGTCAAATATTAATTAAAAATGTAATTTTTAATTAATATTTGTTTCCCAACCTAGAATAATTTTGACTATTCAATTTACCTTTTTTCGGTTTATATGATTATTTCATGGTTTTTTCCGGGTATAATGTATCAACTATTAGTTATATTAAACAAGGCTACTTTTTTAATTTTAGAAAATGATTTAAATATTGTTGTATCCAGTGGTTGACATATCTACCTACTACATTAGAAATCATATATTGGATTTAAGAATATGCATACATATATAATCAGTTCTCTAGAAAATTATTGTCAATTTTCATAATAAATATTCTTCGTGCAGTTTCTTCGTCATATAATTTAGGTCGTTATAATCTTCAGCCAATATAACCTGATCACATGCATAATTAAGCATGAAAGATGTGTATCCTGATATGCCTACGGGTATGTCCATTTTAAAGTATTTTCTTTTGCACTAATTCAAGTACTTGTCACTTAAGTCGCATGAAAATAATATTGTTGTCTTTAACTTTTTATGTATAAAATTTTCTCAAAATTTATTTGTAATTTAGAAGTTAGCATGTCTTTGTTCAGGTAATACGCTCCTACGTGAATATGAAAAAAAAATTCGGTATTCGGAGACTTCAAAATTTCCTCTATCTCTTGGCCTCTATCTATTATAATCGAAACACTAACAAACGACAAAAAAACATTTTTATAAATATTAATCAAAGCTCTAATTTACACCAATTCATTCCAAATGCAACTGGTTTCAAAATAAACAACGGTGATATGCTGGCCTTTCAGTAAGTATGATCATGCAGTAATGACAGACATTCAGTTTCTTTCAGAAATTAATGTAATGTTCTAGTGAAAATACAATTGTCTGTCTAAGTGAACTAACAAATTCCGAGAATAAATTTTTTATCTACGTGGTATCAGTCGAGTTTTATTACTGTGAAATCTGGAAAACCTCGAAAAAATTTGGCATTATTTCAAAGTATTAGTGTTGACTACAAAAGGCTAAATAGACAAAAAGAACTTTCCAAAGAAATCAATTTAAGTCAAAGGTCAACTATCAATTAATATCACATTTTGAAAAGAAAAAAAATATAAGGTGATAAAATTGTCTACAAACTCACACAAACTGTACAATAGTACATTTACACTAAAAAATAGTATAAATGAAGCCAGTATGGGATTTGACAAATCCATTATAAGTTAGGACAATTAAAAAAAATTTAAAAATATATTAGATCTTGTTTTTTAAAATATCAATATCCTTAAAGGACGATGGAATCATTTGTCACAATAAATATCAAGTGGCTTACATTCTTATAGGTAAATTATTTATATTTTTTTTCTATTGAACAGTCCGACAATCAGTTTACCAAAATCAATCAGTCACATTTACAAATTAAAAAACAACTCATATCCAACATTTGATAAAATGCATATCACTATCATCACTCATCACTATGCGTTTTAACGCCGATACTTTGCTGCGAATTTGGAAGAGCGCTTTGATTGATACAAACAAAAGGTATTAAATATACTTCTCTATACCTACAGGACCTGTTGTGCACTGTAAATAAATAATAAGTTAGATCCTAACAATTACAGACCTGTCAGCCTTAGACCTGTTATTTACGAAATCAATTATCACAGTCTCTTTGTGAAAGATTAGTCAAAATTTACTCTGTAATATGCAGAAAATGGAAGATAATCTACAAAGCAACGATATAACGAAGCGTATAGATGTCTACTCAATTTAATAGAAGGATACAAACCTCAAAAAAAATTATGCAGAAATCAAGAAGGGCAAATAACCGGTGATCCAGAAATAAAATCAGTCTGGAAAACTTATTTCCAAACTCTCCTAGGGACGCAAGATAATGAAGAGCATATTGACATGCATCACATTGAGGGAGACACAGAAAATATATAACCCCTGACAATGTAAAAGGTAAAACAAGCAATACGAGAGCACAGAAGAATAACAAGGCTTCGGGTATTGACAACCTATACTCTGAGCTATATAAATTATGTGGCGAACATCTAGTAAGACAAACGCATATGCTTATGAACAAGATTTGTAATGAGGAAAAGATCCCCAGCGACTGGAAAACCGGGATTAAATGTCCAATCTATAAAAGAGGGTATAAAATGAAATGCGAAAATTATCGCGGCATAACGCTCTTGTGCACAGCGTACAAGTGTATACTTATGTACTACATAAACAAGGGATTAAAACAAGGAGACTGGTTGGCACGGACATTATTCAACCTGACTGTTGAAATGTATGATAAGACAGTTGAATATAGCAAAAGGTAATCTCCTAACAAACAAATCAATAGAGATTGCCGCCTATGCCGATGTCGGCAGAGAGGCGGCAGAAATATATTTACAATTAAAAACAGGGACAGAAGAGATCGGACTAGAAATCAAGACTCAAAAGACAAAAAAAAAACTAACACAGGCAAGAGCTAGGGAAAACAGAAGCACAGTTGAATTAGAGGACGATAGTGAAACTGTAGAAGGTTTCACATATCTGGGAGTTACATTAAACATGGATGGAACAGAAGAACCAGAAATTCAAAGAAGAATAGTTAAGGAAAAAAAGCTTACTTTTCACTCATCCATGTGTTCTGGTCCAAAAACATACACTGGAGATCGAAAATCAGGATCTACAAAACTATTATCAGACCAATAGTATGATATGGATGCATATGGATACATATGTAATGACAGAACACACAAAACGAAAGCTGGAATTCTTTGAAAGAAAAGTCCTAAGAAAGATATTTGGACCTATTAACGTAAACAGAGTAAACGAAATCCACGAACTTTACCAACTGTTCAAAGAGGCACCGATCTACGAATTCGTTAAACTTCAGAGACTTCGATGGGTTGGTCATGTAGTGAGAATGGAGCCCTAGATACTAAAATGCAGGGCGCAAGACCAAAAGGAAGGCCAGGGATGAAGTGGAAGCAGACGCGCAAACTTTGCTAGACGTGAGAACCTGGAGAAGATCGGTGCGGCACCGGCAAGGTTGGAGGCATGGTTTGGAGGAGGCCAAGGCTCAATTTGAACTGTAGCACCATTGGGTAGAGAGGCTTTTATATATTGAGACTTTGCAAAAACATTTGATTAATTACTGAGAAGAAAATGAATTTATAAACTAAAACACTTGTGTATCGCGTAGAAATTTTTAAGTAGATTGAAGATTTTTCCCCTGTCGCCAAAAAAAATCAAGTGTTAAGTGATATACTGAAATCTGTTTTGTGTTCACTATTATTTTTATTATATATAATATATGCTAGTTCTTAAATTTAATGTTAGAACTAAGAAAGCTTTCTACGCGGATGACAAAAAAATATGTTTCGACACATCTGTAGATCTCTTTCTGTGTTGTGAAGTAAGGACATGGAAGTTTGCAATACCTGTTTACACTAGACAATAACAGCTAACATATAAAACCGCAACATTTTTTGTTGACGTATGAAACACATGGTATAATATCCCAACGGAATTTATATACTTTCAATCTATAAAACAAACTTGACCGTTTTAACGACAGTACAATAATTTATTTACGTATCGTGTTCTAATGTATTGTACTTAAACATTTTTCTTGTAAATGGTCTTATGGGTCTTAAGACACCAGTTCTTTTTTCTATGAAATAATTATAAAGTAAGCATACCTGCGTCATGTCAATACCCTGATCTTCTTGGAGACTAAGTTGATGGTGGTAATAAACGGCTGCTTTATGGGTAAGAACAGTTCCTGCCCCGGGCAGCTGTGTTGGGAACGTGAAGCTAGGTGCTGGAAATATGGGCCCGGGAGATTTCCCAGTGCTTCCACTGACCGTGCTACCATAATCGGAATGATCATCTGAAACAAAAATAAATTTAAATATTATTACTGGGTTTTAAAGGTTGAAGTGTAATTTTAATAAAACTGATAGTACGCGACAGGAGCAAACAGAATGTTAAACAGTTTCACAACTACAAAACAAACAAAATAACAGTAATACTATTGTATAATCCTTTTTATAGCGTAATACGCCTTTGGGTTCCCTCTCACCAAGTCTGGCTATCCCGCCAGCTGTTTTAACTTAAACTTATGTCTAACATTACTTTGGAGATTTGTCTGGTAATTTATTACGTCATTTATTATAGTTACATTTATTTGTCTTACTTGTCCATACCATAGTAATTGTAGCTTTTCTACTATTATTAGTATTATCATTTCTTCGACTTTCATTTCTATTTCTTGGTTTCTAATATGCTTCAGTCTAGATCTCACTGCTGCTCTGCTCCAAAAGTCCATTTCTACTACTAATAGGTTGCTTTTTTGTCATCCGCCAAGTTTTTGAGTTATAAGGAAAAACTGGTCGTAATATGGTATTGTATGTTCTCTTTTTTGTTTAAGGTCTTTTGCCTATATCTTTTTGCCAAAATGTAAAATTCAATATTCTATTGAATTCTACATGTCTAAACCACATGATTGAAACTTCCTGAGCCTCTTTAAGGACTTTTCATAGCATGGTCAACCATGCGATAACAACTGCAGCTGCTATTAAGAAATCAATGGCCACCTGGAGGTATATACATGCAAGTATCTGCGTAGATTCAGCTACATCTAAAACCAACAACTACATTCTTCAATTCTGTCCAACTACTTGAAGTCAACAATATTTGCCATAAGTATCATTTATTTTTCAGATTTACTTTTAAGATAAGACGTTCCCACACCTGAGAGACTGAGATAAACGAGGCCTAACAATTGGCTCCCAAAGAAAGTTGTGAGATTTCTTGTTCTACATTGGCTCCCAACTTTCGGAGGTAATTATAACGATTGGTATTAGCAGCCACCGTTTCTACGCACCCAACGCATAAAACTTAAATCTTGAAGGTTACAAAGTTCTTCTTAAAGTTGTGTATTTTTGGGCATTTCAGATTTAGTTTCTCCTGTTTTATGAAGCTGATGATGACGGTGACGTCGAAACGCGTCCTAGAGAGATTAGTACTTATTATTATTACCTCACAAAATACAAGTAGAGTATCTAGAAGGTACAATTAGCAGAAGTGTCACATAAAAACACGACAAAATACTACAAAATAAACGTCACAACAAACAGATTAAAACATAAACTATTATCACAATACCAAAAGTACTATACTCGAACAAAACTGGATAGTCCAAAAGATACATTATTACTAGTACAGTTTTTCGTAAAGAATTTTCAACCTCCTTTTAAATAAGGCTGGGCCCATAACGGTTTCTTAATATTGTTCTGAAGCTATTTTGTTGTGGCAGTTTAAAGTAATTACTATTTTAATGGGAATAAGCCACAATTGAAGGTTAAAATAGGTTTATTGATGTTTCAATCTCCACTTCGATTTCCGAATAAAAGACAGCGAGGAAAATAATAAGAATAGTAAACGAAACGAGAGATGGGTGAGATATGGCACGTATTTCCTAGATAACTCACCTACAAAAAAATTAGCAGGTATACCAGAAACATGAAATCAGAAATAAAGATAAAGCTGGATGGAATTTGAAATATTGAAAAATATGATTTATTTCGTGCTGTTAGATGTATAATATCTGGTATATTATGTAACGTTAAACAAGTGTTTATTTATTTAAACACATATGCTAAATAGGTATTTTCTAATGCATATTACTGATTTATTGATACTTTTGTAATATTGAAGTTTAAAAGATTTTGCCGCAAGGATATTGGGATTCTATTAGACCATTTGTCATTTGTTACAAGACTCTTCGAACACCTTTTAGTCGACTTTATTATGGTACTTATTATAGTTATCCATGAAAATTCTTGGACAAAATATTTTTAGCAAACATTTACTAACGTTTCGCTAAACTATTATCCTTAGTTTCAGGTTTTCAATATTGTCCTTCAAATTTCTCTGTTGTACCAAACTCTGAAGTCTAGTACAGCATTATTAGTGCAGAGTACTTCAGATGAGACTGATATTTAGTGGTCACTCAATAGTTCTTTAGCACTCCAGCAATATTTTTGTAACATGACTTCTAATAGTAATCCATGCGATATTAGAGAGTTATTGAAACATATAAAGGCCGCCTTATTATTAAGTGATCAAAAAAGGATGCAGAGAGTCTTCAGCAGAAAGTAAGAACACTTCTGACAAAGGCGCAAAAAAAACCATCCACGCAGTGCAGTAGAGAGAATAACATTACCGCGGTATAACGAAGGAAGATGACTTATGGACGTAAGTGAGCAACTGAATTAACTGATAGATAATTTAAGAACCTATTTTGTTGATGACATGCAGTATATGCATATAGATGACACAACAGCGCTCAAACGGAAGATACAAGAAATGCGTATAAACCACCTAACTAAACAAGAAAAAATGTGCACCTGGATGAGTAAACCTCTGCATTGTTACCTGGTTATTCCAACCTGGTTATTTCCAATAAAAATTACCTGAAACATATTATCAACGACCCTCAGGCCCAAAACGACAAGTGCCGATATGGATGTCAAACCCAAAAAACCATCCAACATCTTACGGGGAGTTGCCAGGCATGTGTCGGAACTGATCACAAAGAATGCTATGATTCCACATTAAGAACTAGCTAGCAAACTGGGACTTCTTCAAACCGACCATTACCCTTATTATGAATACTCCCCGATAGAATGCTGGAAAACGACAACTATAAACTTTACTGGGACCGCACTGATAATATCTAACAGTAATAATAGTAATAAGATAATCTACCAATAATAATATACGTGTTAAATACAACGAAAAAATCGCAAAGTACAGAGATCTGGAAATACAAATAAGGAGACAATGGAGATTGGAAAGTACTCAGACGATACTTGTTATTTTCTCTACTACTGGAGTTATTTCGAATAGCCCCTTAGAGAACATAAAACAGATGGGTCTTAATGAATATCTCTATAAGACCATGCAAAAGGCAGTGGTGCTCTTATCATCTAAATGTATAAGAAATGTTTTGGGAGATACTCCAACGTACCAAGTCACATAGGGTTCGATAATATGGAAAGAGTCCCATCAGAGCTCAATATTTTTGATACCGTCGGTATCTTATTTGCCCCTTACAGGCCGAATGGCTAAATGCGAGCCGTATGGCTAAATCGGACTAAAAACAATGTTCCTTAAATAGAACATACAACTTTAATCAAATATCTAACGTGAATATAGAGGTCGTACTACTTTCCACACATAATTTGACAGGTTACATCAAAATAACGTTATCTTTAACTAAAAGCTCTCTGGACTTCATTTAATTTAAATATTAATGTTGATTAAAGAAAGGCTCTTTTTGCTGTCTAATGGGCATACCTCGAGATACTGGGTTAAAAATGTATAACAGTTATAGCAAATAACAAAAATTAATCAAATCTAAATTTACAAGAATACAAAAGGTTAGAGGAATAAAAATTTAACCAAACAGCACTTGGTCGTAGTTAATTATCTATCTCGCACGGTTATTTAATGATCGAAAATTAAATGTTCGTGATTATTATTTATTGAAATTTCTTAGTAGCTGATGGAAAGTTCGTAAGAAAATATAACTACAGGTGACGACATGGATGAACTTAGATTCGCCCAGATGATTGAAGATAATATGATACCATACCATATTATTCGCCCAGATAAGTGGAGATACTATGATTACTTACAGTAAATCTTGATGACTGTTGCCCTAGTTCACTGAAGTTAATTTATTTTACTATAATATTTTACTTGCATCAAGCACTGAATTTAATTAAAGTTAAAGGTACTCTATACCAATATTTAATCTAATATGAGATTAGATAAAAAAACTCAAATATACAAGTGTATACACACTTAAAAAGAAAAATGCACAGAGAACGGTACGATAACACAAAGAAAATAATATGAGCAAAGCGCCCCACGAGAAGTAACTCTTTATTCAACGAGTGCCCACCAGAAGTAAAGCTCCTCTCTTGAAATTTCAAAAACTCAAAAACGACAGATCAGCCTGTAGTATTTCTAAGAAGGTAAAGTCCTAACGACCATCGGAAAGTTTAAGGAAATTTGATACGTGAGGAAAATAGAATCATTTGGATTAGGTTATTACCTAATTTTATAGAAAAACATTACAACGTGCGTCCGACGATAATTACCGAATTTATGAAAAAGACCTAGACGCGAAACCAGAAATAGATTAGCCAAGGATTAAAAACCTTTCGTAATTTGAGAAGTCGGTACATTGAATAAAATTTTGAAGATGGTAAACCGACCATGAGCGTATCAGCAAAGGGGTAAAAGAATTAACAATAATTTAATATTTTAATTATAAAAAATGTTACAATTTGATAAACACAGTGCGAATATAATTTGATGAACTACAGGGTAGTTGTTTTTTGTTTGCTACATTTTTTTTTATTTTTGTTAATTTCGAGGTATTGTCCAACTATCGTCCATTGTTAATCAGCCATAGTATAATATTTAAATTAAATTATTAGGTTTGGAAATGTGGAAACAATATTGAAAATACTATTCTCTAATAACGACCCAGACAATAATACAGAGAAAAAAATTATGAAAAAGAACCTCAAACATTGAAATCGGAAATTGAGGTGTAAATTAAAAAGCTAAAATTCAGAAAATCAGAAGGAGAAGATGGAAGAACAGCTGAAACACTTAAAGAAATGGAGGAATTAGGGATGAAAGTGATGCTCAGAATTTGCAATGAGATCTGGAATACCAGAAAGTGGCCAAACAACTGGGGTAATTTCACCTTTATTCCCATATATAAAAAACGTTACCGACAGATTGCAGTAATTACTGTACAGTAGCATTGATATTAAACGCGAGCAAAGTACTTCATCAATAAAAGAC